ATAATGCTTGCTACCTAATATACAATAGAACCGATTATGTGTGTTGCACTATCACCAGTGAATTCGTCTAAACTACCGATAATGGTCGATGGAACATAGCAGCATGTGTTGATGGCCAACATGTTAGTTGTTGCTGCTACTTTGTAACAATATTCATAAAAGTATTTATCTGTTGTGTGACTTACCAACGAAATACGTTTCCGTGCTTGCAAATGTGTTTGCAATACCATAAACTAACATAGTTAATGTGATATGTTCACTCGCTTAATCAATGTTGTATACACGATGATCGTTTTAGCCACAGAGGTCTCAGCTTGCCAGGGTGCAATTCTAACCAGAGAGCTGTGATGGCATTGAATTTCTCAAAATTATAATGACCATATTCCGGAAATCAATTTGGACTTTTCTAACTGATGCGGTGAGTAATGCTCTTTGTATCCTGTCTTGAACCATAACAATTACCATTTCATTTAGAACAGCTCAAATTGTCCATTGCACCTCAATAATATTTCTCTTGAATATGGTTCGTTGTATTGTGTATTTTCTTTTTTGTATTGTTATTTTTGTTTTGCCTTGTTCACTCACTTACTTCATTGAATTTTCTACTTTATGTATAAGATGACTTAATTGTAAAGAATGTGTTTAACAGGAATAAAGCCTAGGATGTAAACCTGGTGATTCTTCACATTGTTGTATTGTTGGTTGTACGTGCCTATCCACTTAGCATATATTTTATTTTAAAGCATGTTTATTTTTGTGTGTACTTGATAAGGTAAATTTCATAAATATGTCGGCATATGATTATGATTTGGGAAACTCCCTAATATATGGTCAACAAATATGTTGGCTATTTCAAAACATGTATTTCATGTTCTGCACCTATTGTTAGCTATGCAGAGGAAGATGACATCATTGAATGCTCTCAATGCTCAAACACAACCCTGGCAGAAATATGCAACAAATATGATAACGTCGTGTTCACTATAAAGAACAAACAGATATCTGTTGAATTAGCATGCTTTCTACCAAATTTAGATGCTTTTCCTGACCCTGTAAAGATAAACGTTATGCCACAAGTACTTTTCTCAGAGCAGGAAATGTCGAAATAATGTATAGCACGACGTTACTAAAGGTTGTAGAACCTATATCACTGCACATCGATAAATCCACTACCAAAGAAAAGAATGCAGATATAAAAAAGAAGTTGGGCAAGCAGCAGGAACTGACCTATGCAACCCAATCTGATTAAAATCTGATGTAGTGTACGGGCTTTAATTATTTTGGCTATAAACTTATTTTAATTTTATTTTGTAATTACTTTTGTTATTAATGCCCTTTTATTTTATTATTTTACTTTGATTTTGATTTTGTGATTTTTTTT